TTGACACACTCAGAGTGAGCTTAAGGATTTCTACTCTTGCTAATCTTTTCAACAAGCACTTATTTCTCCTGTTATAAACATGCAGAAAGAAGCAACCGTTTCTACTTATGCAGATGGATTAAAATCATCAATGGATACGTCAAAATCATTATTTAATACAAGTACATTTGTTCAAACTTCTATTTTGAGTTCAGATAAGTCGTCACCTATCAAAAATGAGCGTAATAATGATTTTACAAAGAATCAAGATCTTTTTGGTACATTGAAGAATAAAAGTGGCGTCATTGATGTAAAAGAAATTATTGATCTAGGGGTTCCAGCAAAAAAACAGGCGGTAAAACATATGCTCAAATTTCGTTCGACATAATTAAATTTTCACAACAGATTTGTTACATTGAAATTTTGTTAATCTTTTAGGTAAAGACTGCCTTTGATGAAGTTAATAAGGCCATCAAAAATGCTACAACTGCATGTGAGGAATTAATACAGGTACTCCCTCCAGGCATAAAATTTGATGTTGAGTCAACTGACTATATTGGTTCGAATTTATCTGTTTTGGAAGAGCTCCTTGGGTTGGTTGAAATTGAGGAAACTTCTCGCGTATTCAATTATCAAAAGTTTTCTAATTCAGAGACGTCAACAATGAATAACAAACTCATTGAATCATGCAGCACTGTATCAAAAACGCCAGAAAACTCTCATGTTAGACGATACAACACAAGAAGCGCCGATGGAACACGAAAAATAAGGATTATGTATGATGATGCTAAGGCAGGTGATAAAGGATTCAAAAAGGATAATGGTTTAAGGCAAAATAAAAAAAGTAGTCCGCAGAAAATAAATCAAAAATTAAAAACATTCGAGAACGCATACTCTAAAACATCAATGAAGATGCCGACGATACCTAAGGGTTCATTCGGTTATTTCTTTGAAGATTATTATGCTAAGGTCAAAATTAGTCATCCCAGTGAATCCCTTTCACAAGTTATGAAAGATGCTGGTGTAAGATGGAGAGAAATGACAGAAAACGACAAACTGGTAATAATTATCAAATCGAGTTAGAATTATTATTATTATTATTTTTCATAACTCTATGTTTTTTATATTAATATCAGGTATATAGGGAGCGACAAAATGCAGCGAGAGAACGTTACAAAAATGAAATGCAACAGTATAAAGAACAAACAATTATACCTCAAGATAAGCCCAAGAAATCTAACAAAAAAGCAACTGTTGTTGATTTTTCCGGCCGACCGTTATTTAAAGAATTTGACAGTTCATCAAGTGAAGAAACTCCTTACATGAATGTTAAGCCAGATAAAAAAATTAATAAGAGAGCTGTAGTTGATACATATGGTAGTTCTTTTCTTTCTACTCCTAAAAAAAAAGTCGGTAAAGAGGAGCAAATTGCTTTATGCCATGGACAACGAATGATCTCTCAGTTAAAGAATGTTAAGAAATCGGATTCCACTGAACTAAATCTTGCGGAAGAATCAGAAGAACGCGTGATTCATAAGAGACGACGTACTAACTTCTAAAAACAAAAGTACTGCTTAACTTGGTCAGTTAAATTTTGCTTTTTTGTATAATGTAATAATTGCATGGTCGACATGTTGAGTCGATCTCGTTTTGTATTTCGTAATGTACATTTACTTTTAAAATTTAAATTTCTTGTTGCTTTCTATATTTTAATAAATAGAGTAATGTTTACAATTTTAGTTCATTGATGAACTTTGTTTAAATTATATTTTCATTATTAATAAAATAAAAAATCGGTTTAATACCTGGAAGATTTTTATTTTATTTTTTATTTTATATACTGTATATATTTTTTTTTAATTGAAAAGAAAAAGCCAGCCGGGTCTGTTTCAAAATTTTCAAGTTATGAAACCAAAAAATCAACGCTGTATGGTTCTTAGAGTTAGTACTACAGTATCATATCTATTGTAAAAAATATATAACCTCGATAGACACAGACACGGATTATAACACTAATAATAACTATATATAGTAAAGCCCATTGGAAAGTCTTTCACGTTCTCTACTAATACAGAGACCTTTTCTTCCCTTCCAATTTATCTATGAGGTCATCAGCATTTATTGCACGTTTAACTTCTATACTGCATGCTTCAGACACAATTAAATTTTGTTTCCTAAAAGTTTGTTCCTGAATTTTACATGTGACCATGCCATCATCTTGCGAACCGTTTTTACAATTAATTTTCTATTAAACCTTTTTCCATTAAATTTGAGGATTAAGCAGCATTAGTCAAACCACAATTCCAATTTTCCGTAGTATTCAATTTAAGATGATACATTCGTGCTTGTGTACAACGCATAAAATTTCTTTTTCATTTGGATGTCTGCGTTGTACAAAAGATAAGACAAATGCAGAGGTGAATAAGCTTGGACACCTGTTCTCTACAACCATAAATAAGTATTGATACAGTATCTTCTGTTTGGTTTTTATAAGAGGTTAGCTTCTTTTATAGATCTATTGATTAAGCAAGGATTTCAAATAAGTTTTAAATTATTATTTACTATTTTTTCAGAGTTGGCCAATTGTACTGTTTACAATACCCTAAGTAAAAAAAATGAATATCTTATTTAAAAACTTCAATTGGTTTTAATTAATTGCTATTTAAGCTAATTTATATTATAAAAACAAAATTGTCAAAGAAAGCAAGAATTTTGTTTGAATAAATTTCCTCTTGTTATTGGGGGGTGAGTCAATAGAAACGCACCAGATATTTTTGAATGAAATATTCTTACAACTTTAAATGAATATAATTTGACAATTAATTTAAAAATCTTTTTTATTAAATTTGGTTAAGTTTTTGCTGAGTTATTTTTGTTTAAAGTTTCAAAAAAATTTATTTAGAAAAAATCTGGTGCGTTTCTATTGACTTATCAATTTTCAGGCACCTGAATTATAATAAAAAGATCAAACGTTAAAGATAGAACATGCTATCCTTGTCGCAGAAATTTGGGAAAATAATAAAAATATTTACAAGTTCATAACAAACATTCGGTTTCGATAAAGCCGAAAGAATATATTTCCGACAGCCAACGTTACGATATGATTGTACCTAATTATCGATTCACATGTCAGTAAACGGGACACAATTGCTCTAAGAGTTTGGGAAATTAAATTACCGTATCCTATAATAATAAATCAAAATTATTCAATGAAAACCAGAATACGGATGATACCAGCGCGAATCCGCTTCATTGCGATGTTATATGTGTGAGTTATTTGACAGCAAAATTTTTTAAGGGCCCGTTGATAGTTCTGACTAGTGGGTTTTTTAATTAAAAAGATAAATTCCAAATGCATTTGGTAACCCACTATTTTTTTCTCAGATTCAGTTTAGTTGGAAAGAACTTAAATCATTGGTAGAAGATAACTTATTACGAGAAAATTTTGAAAAACCAGCAAATTGGAAGGACCAAGCTTCAAGTAATATAGCTAGCATTAAGGATATAATCAAGGTATTTTATTGGCGTCAATTTGAGACAAAGCTATTCATCCTAATAGTAAACTTTTTTTACAGAACGAAAAAACTAAGGCGCATGAACGTCTTATTGCTAAATTAAGTGAAGTGGATGTTAAGAAGTTAACTAACAAATAATGTAATCGATTTTGGCGCAGTTATCTTCAAATCCCAAATGATGATTACGCTGTACTTGCTAGTAAAAGAGCTGGAATACGAAACTTGAGAAAAGATCCACTTATAAAAAACATATGCGCCGAATTTGTTAAAAAAAGAGATGAAACAAGTCACTCTTATAAACTTGTACTTTCGCAATCTGAAAAGGTGGTACATGATAGGTGGGTTGAGGAGAATTATGGTCGAGAACGTATAGTCAGGAACGTTGCTGATGTCCTTTTACAAGAGATGAAGACTAATGCACTTCATAAAGTTCTTAGAGGTTCTGAAGGCTCCAAGGTAGAAATTGTATCTCAATTAGTAGATGCCGTTATGTGGCATTTACCTCTTGAATATGATGTTGAAGTAACGAGAGGTGAACGGCAAAGTGTTGCCAGTAAAGACCGAAAATTGCAACAGAATAATAATGCAAGGGGAGACAGACCGGATCTCATGATTCAAGCTTTTCTTCGTCAAAAATGGGACGAAATTGCATACGTTGAGAGTGGCAAATGGAAGACTACTAATAAAAAAATCTTTACGTCAAAATTTTATAGGATTTGGTATTAATCTAGCAGTGAGTATATTGTTATCCACGGACTGATACAGGAGAGGGGGGTCAATTATTATCTTCCAGTAACTAGGGCTAAAATCCCTCTAAATGTGGAAACGGTTGATGAGGTTGAGGATTTTGTTCATGCTCTATTAATCCTGAGGGTTAGTATCATTTTATATGAAACGCAAACAAGGCTAGCAACTTGCTAATATTGAAAAAATTTACAATTTTAGAATGGAATAATTGTAAATTTACAAAATATGAGGGATGGTTTTCAAAAAAATTAAAATGAGCAATATAAGCCCCCCTCCGAAACAAGAGAATTTAAAATTAGAGTTTCAATCCGGATAAATCCGCCATTCATTTATCCATGTCTGAATTTATCCAGATATCCATTTACTATTGGTATCCAAATAATCTGACAAATATTCGGATAATTATCCAGATATCAATAGTAAAACGGATACCCAAATAAATTCAGATCTGGATATCCGATAGGTAAATGGATAAACGGATAATGGATCGGAACTCTATTTAAAATAAAAATGTACGCATTTATAGATTGTATCTTCCTATATTTTAGTTTTTATTTTTTTATATCAATAAAGCTGGCCTTGGTGGCTCAATTTCGCATACATAATCGCGTTTACTTTTGCATGTGTATTTCGGGATTTAATATGTTGTATAATTATTGAGAATTTTTATTTGAAAATAAAGGCACTAATTAATAAAAACATTTTAAGACGTTTTTCCGCACATTTCTTATAAAGTTATATAAATTAATATCAAACATGCAAGATCAAAGGGACAAGCCTAAGGACCTATCTGAATTAGATTTATTGAGACAACGAATCATTGATCTTGAGACTGAAAATGCTGAAATTCCCGAACTTAGAAATAAATTGCTAAAGTTTGCCGAAGTTGAAACTGAAAACAAGAGGCTGAGACAGATTGTTGAAGAGAATTCTAGACGTGATGCGGAGTTTAAGAGCCGAATTGAGGAGTTGGAAAAAAGTAGAACAGATACTGCTTCAGAGAATGCTGAGCTTAAAACTGAAGTAGCAAAATTAAGACATGATTTCGAGGAAATAAAATCAAAGGGAATAATCATCGATTCTCCGTCAATTTCCTCATTAGCCGAGAAAAAGATAGTAAGTGTTTCTACCGAAATGAAAAATTCTAACGATATCCCCGAACAGATAGAAATACAAACTGAGAATGCTTCGGCATCTAATATATCTGATATTACTTCAAATTCTAGTCACTTTGTGACTGCCTCCAGCAAAGATACTCATGAACAGACAATCTCACGTAATGAGGAGTCTAACACATCTAACCACGAAGTGACTGCCTTCGGCAATTCCGATACACAACAGGAATTAGAGACCTCCACATCTTCTATCCCAAACCATATCATTGGAAGAGAAAGAAGAAAATGAATTTCTGGATTCAATGTATAAGGAGCAGGTTAGTAAAGAGATAATGGAGAGGATTAGGGAGAAGAAACTTCGAACTCAAGACTTAGTTAATCAAGATACTTCGAAGTCATCCAAGTTATCGTATGATGCAAAAACCACTAGAATTGTTGAGGATCGAAATTCAGGATTCTCATATAACACAAAAAATGAAAACCCAAGCTGTAGCTAAAATATTATTACTGAG